ACTCCTTAGAACATCACTCAACACTGCAGAATCTGCTACCATCACCATTGCCAGACTCATTAATGGCCATCAATTAACGTAATTATGACATCTTTTATCTCCTGGCTTCAAAAAATTATTTCCTCTATCTGGAATACTTCTAGCTTTCGGCCTGGTGGATTAAAATTATTTTTTGGAAATATGTCAAAATACTATTTTTTTTCTGGTAGGCATGCATTCTCTGACACCAGCTTAAAAGAGGACACCTGCTTTATATTCTTATGGCTCCATCTAGTTCTCCAATCACAAAGTCCATCATATTTATTTACTTATATATTTATCTGATCTCCAAGCTAAACAGTAAGTCCTGTAAATTTTGTTTACCAGTGCATCTCTGCTATTAGGTAACTACTATTTAGTCAGTGCTTAGTAAATATTTGTTTAAGAATAAGTGAAAGCTAAAAATTTTATTTTTTTGAAGTCAATCACATTGTCCCCCTTGATTACATGAATATACTAGGTAATTGATTTGTAAAATTTATATTTGTTACTAATTCACCAAATTATTCTGAAAGTATAGGGTGGAGAATTATACCACAGAATTCATATGCTTTAATAAGTCCCAAGATTTCCATATATGAATGCTAGAGTATTCACTAGCAATAGAAATTTTTCTATGAAGTAAACGTGTCAACTTTTGGCTCAAAACTCCACAGTGCCATCCAAGAATGTGAGTAGGTAATTGGGAAGTAATTTGGGGTTTAACCACATGGTGCTCTGTCTATGAGTTCCCTGGAGAGGGTGGCGGTGTCCAGTGAACACCTGTGCAAACACAGGGAAACCTGGCTGAAGTCGTCAAGTCAGAGGATGCTAACTAGGCTTTTTTCCCTTTCGTTTGCTCATAGAGATGCTTTCCTAATGCCTTTTTTGGAGATCAGAAGTGAGTTTTCATAACCCTTAAGAGGCTGAGAACAGTGTGTGTAGGTGTGTCTGTATAAGGGATATGTGTGTTTGGGGGGAGGAGCAGACAAAGAGACGGGAAGTGACAGAGATCAAATAATGATATTGGGGTACACAGCTAGATCAAGAAGTCCAAAGAAAAGCAATGCTGTCTAGTAAAGTGAAGCTCACAAATCTGAATAAGTTAATTTCTCCAAACTGCCATAGATAGTATAGAAATGTAAGTGATGTGAGGATTGACTGCAAACAGGGTAAAGTGTTCTGTGCTTATCCGACACCACATGCTTTGGGAGGCACGAGTGAAGTACAAAAATGGATGAAGCTCTCTTTGAAATAAGTAGCATTGAGAAATTAGGTTTCAGGTAAAATCAAAATGCAATTTTTATCAAAATGCAATTTTTATCTCTGAGAGTAGCATACGTTTGAAATCTCCCCCTGAATATACTGCAATAAAGTATATTTTTGATTGTAGAATAAAGAGTAATGATAATGTTTAAACTTAGATCAAACCACACATTTCTTAAGCTAATACAGACCAGGTTATTTTCTATTCATTGCAAATTTAAGGCAATTCAGAACCTCATATAATCACAAAATGTATATGGTTCAAAAGGCTAACAGAAAGCTTAGACATCTCCATCTGTGGGAGGATTAATGTGAAAGCAAAAATACAGCAGTGGTGACAGTTCAAATCATTTGTCTTTTAAGACAGCACATTAAAATACCTAGAGCTTTGGAGGGCTTTTTTTTTTTTTAATTCCAGTATACTCTATTCTTCTGCATCAGCACTACCCAACAGCAGGGAAACAACAGCAATGGCCCAAAAATGTTCCAGAGAAGTAGTAGATTTTTTAAATTAAAAAGGCAAGGTGGTCTTTAATGATCTAATGTTCATATATTTTGTACCAATTGTTGCTGTTTAGTTGCTCAGTCGTGTCAGCTCTTTGCAACTCCATGGGCTGTAGCCCACCAGTCTCCACTGTCCTTCGGATTTTACAGGCGAGAATACTGGAGTGGATTGCCATTTCCTTCTCTGGGGGACTTCACAACCCATAGACTGAACCCACGTCTCCTGCATTGGCAGGTGGATTCTTTACCACTGAGCCACAAAGGAAATCCATTTTTTTTTTTTTTTAAATTCCAGTATACTCTATTCTTCTGCATCAGCACTACCCAACAGCAGGGAAACAACAGCAATGGCCCAAAAATGTTCCAAGGAAGTAGTAGATTTTTTAAGTTAAAAAGGCAAGGTGGTCTTTAATGATCTAATGTTCATATATTTTGTACCAATTGTTGCTGTTTAGTTGCTCGGTCGTGTCAGCTCTTTGCAACTCCACGGGCTGTAGCCCACCAGTCTCCACTGTCCTTTGGATTTTACAGGCGAGAATACTGGAGTGGATTGCCATTTCCTTCTCTGGGGGACCTTCACAACCCATAGACTGAACCTGTGTCTCCTGCATTGGCAGGTGGATTCTTTACCACTGAGCCACAAAAGAAATCCAATAATTAGTTTTAAAGTCATGAAAAAAATAAGGTAGGCTAGATATTAAAGATATTCCTATTAACTATTTTTATTCAATGAATACTTAGTATTCTCTGATTATATGCAAGAGTTAAGAAAGAGGAGGAAGAAATGTGGGGGCTTCCCCACAATAGCGCAGTGGTACAGAATCCGCCTGCAATGCAGGAGCTGCAAGAGACACGGGTTCGATCCCTGGGTTGGAAAGATCCCCTGGAATAGGAATGGCAACCCACTTCAGGCTTGTTGCTTGGAAAATTCAATGGACAAAGGAGCTTGGCAGGCTACAGTCCCCAGGGTTGCAAAGAGCTGGACATGACTGAATGACTGAGTACCTACACATACAGAAGAAATATTAGGTGCTTTAGTAACAGAGAATAATGAATCTTTGTAAATTTTAATTATATAAGCATTTGATTTTTCAAAGTCTCATTGAACTATGAGGAATATGGCAGTATGTTTAGTTTTTAAACTACTGTAGACTATAGTACCATTCTGATAAAATGACAAATGTTTTAAGATGTGGCCCCAAATATTCAAGTATTTATTTCAAAATTTTATAAAGATACATATTCGTATAGTCAAAGCTCTGATTGTCAAGTGTCATGTACAGATTTGAGAGTTGGACCATAAAGAAGGCTGAGAACTGAAGAACTGATTGTGGTGCTGGAGAAGACTTGAGAATTCCTTGGACAGCAAGGAGAGCAAACCAATTAATAGCAAAGGAAATCAACCCAGGATATTCATTGGAAGTATTGATGCTGAAACTGAAGCTTCAATACTTTGGCCACCTGATGCAAAGAGCTGACTCATTGGAAAAGACCCTGATGCTGGGAAAGGGTGAGGGCAACAGGAGAAGGGCGTGACAGAGGATGAGATGGTTGGATGGCATCGCTGACTCAATGGACATGAGTTTGAGCAAGCTCCTGTAGATACTAATGACAGGGAAGTCTGGCATGTTGCATGGGACTGCAAAGAGTCAGACACGGGTTAGCAACTGAACAACTGGTTTCTTAATTGTTAAAACACATTTGCCTCTTCAATTCCAGATTTAACTTTTATAAAGTAGCAACCAAAACATTATATACTATAAATCTAAGGCACTGCTGATTTGGGGTAAGTGGACTCAAAATATAGCACTAAATTCTATTCATATATTTCTGTTAGGAATACTTGTGACTCTAATTTTTCTCAGAGATATAGACTTTTGTGAGGAAAGATTCCTCATATTAAACCCTGAAACTCACTGTATATACTTGGAGACTTGTCAAAGTAGTTAAAAGTTTTATTTCTATAACACTGCATCAAATCCCCTAAACTAGCAGCAAGTTAATAAAAGCTTTAAAAGAGAATTGTCTTTGAAATGAATCAAATGAGCATAGTATCTGTTAATAACATAATGAACTTTTTCAAATATACTACAATATTACCAATGTAACATAAAAAATACAAGTGAGATACACTTGTACTTTAAAAAGTAAAGCACACTAAAATGCAATAGGTAGTGGCCAAACATGGCTAGTGAGTGGTTTTATTTAATTATTCTTTCATTCATTCAACCAACAGCTATTGGGTTCCTATTACACATTAACTAAGTCAGGTGTATTAGATATAATGATGAGTAACTCACACTGATCCCTTACTATAGACACAAATACTTCTCTTCTTCAAAACTATTTTTGAAATGTTATGAAAACTTCTGAGTTCCAAAGTTTATGCTGGTTGACTGAACTTTAATCCAATGCATAATTGAGTTTTCCTATATTGAACAGATACAGTCTACTTTTTTCTTCTTAGTATTGACATGAAAAAGACAATTTTTTTTCAAATGTAACCATGATATTACTTTCAATCAGAGGAAAAAATATCTATATAAATTTACATAGTGCTAAATTATTTAAAGTACCATTACCTTCTCAATGGGGAGTAATTTTGAAATTATGGAAGTTATCCTGACTCCATAATGATATATGCCAGTGAAATACTTCATACATGAAAACATTTTGAAATGTGATCACTGACTGATATTTACTAAGCATGTTTTTGAAACTCTGAAGAACAATCCAGCTGGAATAATTTTTCTTTCATCATATATTTATAGTCTTAGAAAAATAATTATTAAAACAGCTATAAAATATTGATGAATATTTTCAGGCAGTAAAATAACTTCTATTTTATTTACAGTGACTATTTAACTTAACTAAATTGACTTGGAAATTACTTTCCAGTGAAAATAAAATTTAAATGTATATTAATATTAGAAAGATAAGAAATTTATTATATTCAAGTAGTACATGTAGTGCCTTTAAAGTATAATGTTACTCACTAAGTCATATTTTTAAATTATTTGTGAGCACTACAAATAATATAATTTAAATACTAAATAAAAATGTTAAAATTGAGAGACCAACAGAAGATTACACTAATTAGCAACACATAGCAATCTTATACAGAGCACTCATAGTGCACTGATCTCCAAATGTGTCAGTCACTCATGAAAACAACGATGATAGCTATTGAAATGTTTAAATCTTGCACTTACCAACCTCCACAACACTAGAACAGTTGGGACCTGTGAAGCCATCTGGACATTTGCAGGAAAAGGAATCATCAGACAATCCTGACAAGCAGATACCCCCATTTTCACAAGGATTGGGGTCACAAATATCACCTGAGAAATAAAGAAAGAGATATTGACTTTTTTGGCCTTAGGCACTAAACTGTATTATTTCATAACCCCCACTCTTCTTCCTTTGATAAAATCACAATACTTTATATAGATTTACAGATAAGGTAGGCAAGACCCATTTGAAACCATGTGCTTCTAAAAGAGATGGTATGTAACATGGCTAAAATTAAATTTTTCAATTCAATCATTGCATACTAAATTGCATACTATAAACAAGTAACATACTTTGGAGTTCTTTCATTATGTGTAAATGAAAGATTTTCTAATTTGTTAAAGAAGATTAACCAAAATGTCTGTAGTTGACTGGTCTACTAATTACTCCTATAAATAATCTAGCTATATCCACACATTTTGCTTGATAACTTTGCAAGTTCTCTCAATAAAGGGGGTGTTTATTTCTTGATGTCTAGAGTCTGGGCTTATCCATGTGACTTCCTTTGGCCAGTAGGGTGTTAGTAGACTTGAAGTCAGTTGATGTTTGATAAGTAATTTGAATAAATCTGCTTCCTTTCTTGGAACTCTGCCACAGCCCTGAGAGTAAATTCAGCCTAGGCTCCTCAAGAGAATTGAGAGGAAACATGCAAGGTAACAGAAATAACTTGTGCAGTAACCAAAGCTGAAAACACGTGGCCATGGCTTTAATACAGGTAGTGGATGGAATCTGGAAAAGGACTGAAAGAATGGCTACAGGAGGCCAGAAAAATGGGTTCTCTGTGTTATCTAGAGAGATGCAGTCGGTAAGACTATCATCTGAGGAAACTTTGGTGGAAGAAAATGTACCTAATACACTTTTGTATATGAATAATGACGTTCGTAGGCAGAATGTAAAAGTGTCACTTGATTCAATAACTGTATTTGATAAGGTATGATAAGAAAGAGACATGCTAAATAAAGAGCAGGTGAGTCTGAAAGTTAAGAAATAGGGAGGCAGCAGGACTTATGATAGAAAACAAAACAATTTCTCAACCCCAGCTTCTCAAACCAGTGAAAGATCAAATCCAGAGCTTTGTCAGAAAGACATGGCTTCAACATAAATATCAAATGAAGGCTGTAGCTACAAGACCTTTGTGAAAACATTTCATGTAACTCAGGTGCAGCCTGAAAGAAACTCTCAGCTAAGTAGAAAGAGATTCTAGAAATCTTAAGGATATTATCCCTGAGCAGCCTGACAGATCCAAAGTAGTGCTGATTAGGTATGGAGTGATGAACAGGCTTCAGAGAGTCACGGGTGTGGCTTTACAAAGAGCATGTGAATCAGATTTAGAAAAGCCCATACAACTTCTAAAAGAGCTTTATAGGTGAAGGTGCCATCTCTTGGAATAAAAGGGAATGAAGATTTTCAAAATTAAAAAAAAAAAACAGTGGGGCCCCCACTTCCTTACTACTTGGTATTTTGTAGGAACTTTATTCCCCTACAGAAGTTTTCTCATGAATTATTTTGTCTCTTTCCCAGACTAACTGCTCTAAAACTATACAAAAAAGGAAAATGGAGGTTAAGATATTTGTGAAATTTATAAAGCAGGTCATTAGCTATATTAACATGATAGACTAAAATACTACATTAGCACTGGATCAGATATTAGAAAGAATCCTGAAATAAGTTAATAAATGAATGAAAGAATATGCTTTGGGATTACCATAGAATTTAGCATGGCTGAACCCTGGAGTATTTGATTGGCAATGACTGAGAAAGTATAAATATGCTTGATAGATGTCAGATCAGAGGAGATTAAAAAGTGACATCACCAATTATCAGTTGAGACAACAAATGTTTTTAATATGTATTTTAAAGCTTTAACATGGGCAGATATATTTTAAGAAGATTATTCTGGCAGCATTATCTATCAAGTGCATTTGAAAGTGGAGGCTGATGACTGGTAAAGATATTTCAATAGATTATTTATCTACCTCTTTATATATCTAGCTAGTGAGTCTATTTGTCCATTCAACTATCTATTCTTTTAGTACCTATTTAATGATAGGCATCAAGTGATAACATGGGAGATATATACAAAAATAGTCCTTATGATCAGTAAGTATAGATCCCACTACAGGAGATGAAAAAGATAGAAACAATTACAGTACATGATAATAAGAACCATGATTAGTATACATGATCCAAATTATAGGATCACAGGAGACTTCTAAATGGATGCAGTACTGTTCAGTGATGCAGAAGAAAAGAAGGTACAGGCTTAACATCCCAGGACAAGAAAATAACATATATGAAGGAAAAGGATCACTGCTCATCCCAGGAACTTCAAATAGGCCACTATAATTAAAGCATAGAAGAGTATGATAAGTAGAAAGAAATGAGCTCAGAAAGGTAGCATGGTCATCTAGATAAAGGCCTTGTACGCCAATACCCCAAATCCTGAAGCTTTTCTGTAAGCACTGAAAAATCATAAAAGGACTTTACATATGAGGAAATATAGGATCACATTGGTGTTATGGAATGCTGACTCAGGCAACACTGTGTTGAATCAAATGCAGGAGTCAAGGCTATGGCAAAAGGACTAAGCATGAATTTTCTGGGGTAGTCCCATAAAAACGACGACTTTCTTAACTCTCTTTAGAGGTAGCTATGGACAAGGAAAGCAATGAAGCACCATTTAAACCCAATCCAGTTAATAAATGCTAGCTAGTAAGATAGAAAACGATAGTCCCCTGAAATCACTACCTCCCTGTTAGAAACAAGGCGTTATTGTTGAGATTGTCTAGAAAGTCAATTACTAGTTTAAAAGTGTGATCCTGCCTGTCTTTCTTCAGTGTGAACAAAAAAGCACAGCTTTGTACAGTCAGACTAACAACACTGCCATCTGCTCACTCTGTACATTGCATAAAGATGAGTATTAACACTGAAGCTTTTTTTTTTATAAGATGTCAGTCATATTTCTGTGCATTGTGAATACTACAGAAAGAGGAGTTCTACATTCCCCAGACGAGGATCTGTTGTTGCAGCAATGTCAACAGATCAAGGAACATTGCAGGTGTTTATATTGATTTATTTACACTGACAGGAGTGATCTCCACAGGAGAAAGGCAAGGCATGAACAGTATCCTACAGGTTCACAAGAATACAGGCTATATTTATACATTTATTCAAAATCAAGATCTCTCATTCTGACCCCTCTCAATCCTACAACCAGTTCCCTTTATGTGAGCTCACCCAGAGTCACATGAGACCACGATGTCTGGTCCCTTTGGTTGACCCCCCATCACACAGAGCTTTGTTGGCCCAAGAAATCTTTCTTAGTATTTGTGCTGCCCTTTCTAAGTGATCATACTTAATCTAGTTGATTTTCCACAGGTGTGTCTGCCAGTCATATGCTGTTTTTGTGGTCACAATGAGACAGGATGGTCTGTCTACCTCTCATCATAGCTCGTAGACGCCAGCTGCTCTTCAGCTGACCTGTTTTCTCTCTTGTGCTTTTTGTTCTTTCTGCTAATTACTTATTTTGAAGATGTTAATATTGTGAAAATCCGTATTTTATCCCCATTATTGATATCTACTCAGAGTCTTTCTGAAACGTAGAAAAGAAGTAATAGATTTGACCAAAATGTGCCGGTAGAACCAAGAGGACATTGTGACCAAACTGACGTGTGGGTTGAGGGAGCGCAAAAAATCTGGATTGATTTCTAGAGCTCCTGTCTGTATGACTGTAAGGCCACCTTTCATAAAGAAATATAATGGGTTCATTGTTAAAGGAATTATTGTGTTTAAGAAGTCTGCACAGTATCCAAAATGAAAATGTCCTATAAAGGTATCAAATGATCAGATACAGAATGAAGAGCATTTGATAAAACATGGATTGTTAAGTACAGATGTGAATACCATAATCCAGTGAGAGTCCTTAAAGGGAGGGGAGGGGAGCAGAACAAAGGGGAAGGGAGAGGGGAGAAGTCCTTGACCACACTAACAAAGGAGAATAAAGAGGGGAGATTCTTCAAGAGAGGAGGAAAACAGCGACAAGCCTCTTCCACAACAGTATGTATATCCAATCTATTCACTTAGGGTCTAATATGTCAAGGACTGCCTGAGATTAATTAAAGGCCCCCACATGTAGCTGTGATAGATGGATAATGTCAGCAAAAAAACTAAGTTTAGATGGGCACAACAGAACCCAAACACAGTTAGGGTTATTAGAGTCTGTGCTATATATTTGTTTCCCCACACCTAATTATTAATAGCACCCCTATGTGTCAGTTGGGTTCTCCATGAAGACAAAGAGTAAAGCAAGCTTATTAAGAAGTAATGCCCAAGAAAGAAAAAAATGAGGAAGTAGCAGAAAAGGGCTGGAAAAGCTCTCATCTTGCGATGCAGATCTGATACCTGTGAAAAGAAATGGGTGGTGGTGGGGAGCAGGGGGGTCACTGAACTGAGGAGTCTCAGTCTATAATGCAAAATTGACAGTCTTAACTAATATACCTGGGAGCTCCAAAGCAAAGATTACACTTCAGAGCAATCTCCCAAAGGCGGAAATAACCAGACACTTGCTCAGTTTTTGGAAGGAGGAGGCCCAAGCAGAGTGAAGTTCTAAGGCTCTAATGGGATCATGAAGAAAGTGATACCAAAGACAGTCAGGGGAAGTTAAGTGCATTCTTTGCAGCCAAACAGTTTGTTCTTTCTTGAAAGGATACTGGAGCCATGCACCTCCATGGGTACCAAGGTCCTCTTTCACCCTCAAAGCTGTCCTGGTTTGGATAAGTTACATAATTACTTTGGTCAAAACAAGGGTATCTTAGCTTGCTTTCTTTTATCTACACCCACTATCTCAGTAGGCTGATACCTTCAGTTCAGTTCAGTCGCTCAGTCGTGTCTGACTCATTGCGACCCCATGGACTGCAGCACACCAGGCCTCCCTGTCCATCTCCAACTCTTGGAGTTTATCCAAACTCATGTCTATTGAGTCAGTGATGCCATCCAACCTTCTCATCCTCTGTAGTCCCCTTTTCTTCCTGCCTTCAATTTTTCCCA